ACACACACACACACACACACACACACACACACACACACACACACACACACAAAACTAACAAAAACAGAGACAGTTGCAGCTCTTTTCGTGTTGTTCTTGTTGCTGAGGTTGCCTCTGGCCCCTAGTGATTTTTGTTGCTGTTGTATGCTGCTGATGTTTTATTGTAATATGTTGCCTCAATATTTGGGCTGTCTATAATGTGTGCAGATAAAGTCAACGTACTCTACTATACAGAAAGTCTTTGTGGATTTTTGCCACACACTTTAAGTTCGGCTTTTCTCCCGTTTCAGATGATTTGTTCCTAAAGGCGACAAAATTTTCATCTTTAAATTTAACAAAAGCTTTGTCAAATTCGTCCAAAGATTTGAATGCCTGCTCCAGAAAGCCTTGGACCAATACGCTGGGAAGCGAAGCGGAAATGGTAGATCTAGATGATGTTAGATTCTAATTCTAATCATCAACGTAAAAGAGCTCCGTGTTCACTCTGTCGCAATTAACGCCGCGTTAGCTGTAACAGCGTCACTCTGTCCCAATTAACACTACCATATACATTGTCATGTGTGCCTGTGTGCATCTGTGTGTACGTGCACGTGCTGTGTGTGTGTGCGTGTGTGCATGTGTACGTGTGTGCGTGTGTGCGTGTGTGCGTGTGTGCGTGTATGTGATCTACAAACTATCTTATTGTTGTTGGAACTTGTGCATAAATAGCAGAAAATTTGATTGAATCCTAACTTTGTGTTTTGTTGTCATTGCAGATAGCGCTAGTTCTCCTCCTGGCTGTGATTGGCGGAAGTGACGCAAGATGGTACCTGATGACCTCGCACCCGCACGTCGTATTGGACGTCACGACTGATCCAGCCTTGACCTGCAAATATACTTCTGGATACTATGACTTTTCTCAAATCTCCAGGATCCGGATCCTAAAAAATGACGCTGGGAGTCACTGGGAGTTGGTTGCAGAAGTTCGAACACATCTCCCGACGCCCCAACTTCCAACACCGGTCTGAAGGTCAGGGGTCATGTCGGATCAGAATGGAACAGTTTTCTGGAAATATCCTGGCCTACAGCAGAGATGAATACGTTAGGCAGGTATAAATGCGAAGTTATGGGTTTCGACTCTGACTCTATTGCCGTCATTCGAGATACTCCTATCCAACTCATGGTAGAAGACACAGTCAACGCAACGCAAGTTTTGCATCTCCTGCTGAGAGAGCAGGCCGAACTCCAGCATGAGATCACTGAGCAGAGAGACAACTGTACCAACACAGTAAATCAACTCGAGAGTGCCATCGATGACTTGGAAAATCGGGTCCTCCGAATGGAGGCCTCTCAGCGAAGTAGGACGTGGCCAAAAGGGCTTTACGGACTTCTTTCTCCAAATACAGGTTGCCCGAACAATGGCATCGACTCTTGGCGAACTGGTCAATTAAAAATGCACACAGAGTCGTCAAATAGCTCCAATCTCAATAGTGTGTCGACTCCGAATAACCTTGCCCAGCCCATTTTTGAAAGCTCGAATTCAGACTTATTCATGAACCAACATTTCTGTGTAAAGGAAAATGTCGACGTCTTTTCATATTGGCCCCGAGGTACCTACTGTATAAACAAACACGACTCTAGGTCATGTCCCTATGGTTTTTCTTCCGGGTACATCCAGTTCGATGACGAAGACGGCGATAGAGCTACCCAAACAAGTGGAAATGTTCCAGAGATTGTTGCAGATAGCAGTTATTATCGTATTTCCTACTGTTGCAGATCTGATTCAGCCCCAGGATTCGCGATCTCTCTACCCACGGAGAATCCTTTCTACTTGTACCGTTACAAAGGGACATGTCAAAGTGTTTCTGGGATGACAGTATCACAGCAGTTTATGTACTTTGACACAGAGGACAATAGTAATGGAGACAGGTATGAAAACCTGATCCACCCGGATGGCAAGGCCAACAATGACGTTCGTATCGAGTTATGCTATTACAGGTGATTCCAGTACAAACGAAAGAGTCGGAAAGCGTTTTATGAACACGACGTGGGTATACAGTTTACAGGACAATGGCCTCCTTATCAAGGACGAAAGTATGGAACATAATTTACCAATGCAAAAGAAGAATTAAGCACTCAAAGTAACTCAGGAAAATAAGAATGATAGAGCAAACGATTTGTACAGAATTTTGAAAAATGGAAAGCAGACATTCACAAAACCGTAAGGAATATAAATAGCCGGCTAAAGGGAGGATAAAAAGAAAACTATAAAACGATACGTCTTTTCTAATTTTTTTTTTTGGGGGGGGGAGGGGTGGGGTAGTTAAAAACGAAATAGAAGAAACGCGTTTTTGTGCAGGTAAATGGCTTGTGGGAGTTGGTAAGGCTTGGCGCGAACAGGGCAATTTTAGTTGCACAACAGTTGCTGTCTTCAGGCACCTTATTAATTTACACTTCTCGCACAGAGCTAAGCGACAGCCAGGCAACAGTAGGCTATCATCATTATTGACTTTCTCATTTGACGTCATGGACTTCCACGACGCAGTAGTTGTCTATGCTCTTGTGATTGAACTTAGAAAGAAGAAAAGGAAAAAGCGCTTTTGGGATCACTCTTTGACCAGTCAGAGGTTTTTAAAAAGGGCATTGTGTCAAACTGCAGGATGATTTGAGAGCATACCCTCCGAAGTTTTTTTTTACAGACTATAATCGAATAAGCTCGGGCAGTTTGAATGAACTTTTGCGTCTCGTGGGACCCCCAATTACGTATCGAAACACCAACTGGAGATGCAGCATTTCGGCAAAGGAAAGACTATCAGTAACACTGAGGTCCGGACACAGTTTGGTTGCCTGTGGGTGCTGTATGTCCGTTTTGTATGTAACACAGTCAATTTGAGCATCCGTTGCGTTGCCGAAAAGTTGTGACAAAACATAAACTTTTCAGTCTCCAAAAACCCTAGTTGCCTGTGCGTGCTGCTTATCTATTTCATTGTTTACATTTGGGCGAGAAAGCAGTTGCGCAACTAAAATTGCCTTGTGCAATTTTTGTTCAGTTATTCTTTGACCTGTTACAATGTCAGTTGAGGAATCTTCTTCTTTGCACCCCCATGTTACATCTCAGGGGTAGTCAACTGATAGTTCTTCTTCAAGCAGTGCATCTAATTTTTACATACGCGACCGTTTTTCCTACTTAATAGTAGGACCACTTGCTTTCAGACAGCCATATTCCAATTTTGAAGCTACTTTGTGGGGGGTTTATTTTTTCTTTTTCTTTCTTTTTTTCTTCTATCGAACAGAGTTCTTTCAGTCTTGCCAGGCATTACTTTTTAATTTTGAAGGAACTACAGCTATGTGTTTTTTTACATTTTATTTTAACAGATTTGAGTATTTTCAGTTTTGTTAAGAATTTCTTTTGAATTTTGTACGGGTGGCTGCCGAAGCCTTTTGTTATCGATCTTAGGACCACCAAGGGATCTTTAACGGGCACACTTTGCATACGGAACCTTCGAGATTTTTCATCCTTATCTGAGAGCGCGTCCGGCTCATCAGGAGGATAAAGACAAACAACGAGAAGCGAACTATACGGATGAAACACGTATTACGGAATTGACGGTTTAGGTTGATTAAGGGACACTAGGTACAGCTGAAGCGAAAATTTTTGTTTGAGCTCTAAATTAAGTATACTGGGCTTCCCAATAACCGATATGGGTCAAGAAACAGAAACACGCTATCCCTATATGATTTCAATGTCCATTTTCTGAATTCTTCAGATGCAAAGGGTTCGACAGACGAAGATTCGCGCAAATTCAGTGCAGGGATTCTGAAAAATATTGAATAGATACAGCCTTGATATTTTAACACAGTGTTTCTGTATATACAACCTGCAACGTACTTAAGAGTTACTTTCCTAAGTCGCACACTTTTCTTTTTACTGGCCGTTTAGTGTCACATACTATACTCGGACAAAAAATTGATCACAAATCAGAGTGATACTGTTAATCTTTTTTACACTGACAGGAAACGTATTATAATATCACAATTATCTTTTAGTACGTTGCAAACATATTATCTAGAAACAGTCATGCAAAGTGAGACGGAGCTGTAACAAGAACATTTCAGAAATATCTCTGCACAGGTGACCCACTTCCCTAAGAAAATCATAGTTTTGAGAAAACTGAAAAAAACAACGAATTTATACTGGTCTATTTCAACGAAATGTTCGCAAACATGGCATATGTGAGCACTTTATAGATGTTTTCCAATCGATAAGGCAAATGTTGGTCTACTAAAATAGTCCAAAATCGAAAAATCGGTTTTGGATACCCAAATCGACTTTTTCTGGAGCAATGTGCAGGTTTTCAACGTGGGGTCGACATCTGAAAACGTTGTGTCAACTTGTAGTGTTCTCTAAACGCTTCAACTCTTTTTAATCTTTTAAGTTTGAGTCAGACTGCACAGTTTTGTGTCTATCGATTTTTTTCAAAGCTTTTTGTGGTCTTTTACCTTTTCACAATTTAGTTTAATGCTTTTGTCGAACATTTTAAAGCCTTTTTTTTCTTAAAATTCAGTTTAATGCTTTTGTCGAACATTTTAAAGCCTTCTTTTGTCTTAAAATTCAACGCTAGTACAAATCTGGAGTCTGGTGAAATCATTATTTTTTTCACTCTCACCACAAATAAGCTAGCATTTTCTTGGGACAAGTTCAGAAAATAGGAGAAATCGTTGTTTTGCCAGTTTCAAGTTTAAAAAAAGACCCAAATAGAAAAAACAACAACAAACAACTCCCTCACCCCCCCCCCCCCCAAAAAAATAAAAATAAGGGAAATTATTTAGAAATTAGAGGCTCAACAATCAAAATAAATGATTAACTATCTTCAAAAGGTCACAGAAAAAAACTTGTATAAACAGTAGGAGATTTTTTTACTTCTCTTTTTCTAGTTCAAAGACAGATGACATCTATGTAACTTCTACTTGTTTTGCTTTGGTTTTGCCTTCCGTCTGAATCAGATCTGTTTGTAATGAAACCGATTCTTGATACTCTGAACTTGGCTTTAGTTCGGTCTTAGCTTGTGTAAATTTCCCAGTAATGACTGTCTATGTGAGTTTGAATTATTGTTCATTTTGTTGTTTTTAAGACTTAGGGCCAGCATTATGTTATCTAAATAAAACCAGTATAATGATTTTAGCATGCGACACGCGATATTGTGTTATTGCAATAAACGTTAGAACATTGTGTAGCAGATAAATTGTGTTTTTCAATCTATTTCAACAGTTTTGACAATGGCAGTGATGTAAGTGTATGTGCAAATCTGTTACTGGGCATGGCTTACTTGTGCTTGTGTATGATCTTGAATATAATAATAATAATAATAATAATAATAATAATAGATAGCATTTGTATAGCGCATAACCCCACTCGAAAGCAAGCTCTATGCGCTTTACACTATATTATTACCCCAGCAGACCGTAGAACACTCAGAAACATTCTCAGCTTCCCGGGAAACATACAGTGCAAGCAGCTGATTAAGCGCTCAAACACTAACAAACTGACAAGATCTTTCACTGTCTATAGCTGGGTACCCATTCCCACCTAGGTGAAGTGAGGAAAACTCGTGTAAAGTACCTTTCCCAAGGACACTACGTCAGGTCCCAGACAGGATTCGAACCCACCACCTTACGGTTGCGAGTCCGAGAGCCTAACCACTAGGCTACCGACGCCACAATTTGAGACATCATGGTGAAACCAGGGACTTGTCAAGATAATGAAATCGAATAAACCCCGGCAGTTTTCTGACCGCTGGGCAGTTTTAAAAGTGTTCTCTGTTGTGGCTTGACACCTTTCAAGTCCATTTAAAAACATATTTCTGTGTGAATTTTATGGAAAAGTGGTGATTGAAGTAAAAAGAAAATGTAATTTGTAATTTACAAGGCTTTGAAAGTCATCGAATTTGGCAGCAATTTTCTCATTAATTTTTAAATCTGAAACGAAGCGACCCCACCTTCTTCAATCGCAAACAACTCGACTTCAGTTCAAGATAAACGGGCATTTTTTCTGGACAGAAAGACAAATAAACAAGAATCAATGTGGTACTCATAACTCCACATGCCAACAAAGTGACGAGCGCCTGATTCCCCCTCTTCGTGATACTTTAATATTTCATTTATTTATTTTTCTTTTTTTTACGACTCTTGCAATTACAAATTGTTATGTGGCAGCGCTGGACACAATACGCTTTTTTGCTTTAGTAGGAACTCATTTTAAATTTTGCCTGGGTGGAGATCGAAGCCTACTCTTATCGATTTTAGGACCATCAAGGGTTCTTTAACGTGCGCAACTTGTATAGATTTTCGAGATTCTTGCGCTCTTATCAGAGGAGGCGGAGTGTTAGATTATCATTTTACCTACCATAGGACTGAAAGACACGCGTGAAAAGGAGCCTGGAGTAGCAGTAGTAAAGCTGCAGAAAGAGCCAGGAGCCCAGAGGAGTAGGGGGGGGGTGGAGATGGAGGCAGAAAGTGGAGACAAAAATAGACGACAGAACAGGAATAGAAAGCAGGAAAGGGGGTGAAAGGAGAACATGTTAGAGAAGAAAATTTTCCATCCCAGCGTTTTCGAACCCAGGACTTACTGAGTGAGAGTCGAACACCGCACCTTTAGACTAC